TGAATGTAAACTGGACTTGGATTATTTAAAGAGGGAATTACAAATTGATTAATAAATTACTTGTTATATTCCATTTCCTAATTCTTGTTTTTTTAAAGACCAAATCTTCATTTTGAAAGTCTAAACTGAATGTAAAAGTATTCCTGTTTAATAATGTAGAAAAACAACTCATTCAGGTTTCCCTGATAACAATCAGGAGAAGTGAATACCTGGGGATGATGAAAGATGTACGAACACCGACCAAGAAGAGCAGCCTATAAAAGGATAAGAAATAAAGACAGAAGTTATTTTATTCCTACAGTTCTTCTTCTTTCTTGTGGTATTTCTTAATGAAACATCAATGAAAACGTGTTATTATCCCAGTGTGTTGACTTCACTCTGCTTTCATCAGCATGTCCAATCTGCCCACTGATAACACATAGAAACCAGATACATGTGTTTGATGTAGCTTAGTATATATATTCAACCTTTACTCTATAAGTACTTTCACCTGTTAAAGTTCAGAGTTTAACTCGTGTCATTTTAGGTTTTTATTCATACTATCACTACATGTTTATTTTTATTCTATATATTTCCATAATCTAAAGAAAAATCGCATTACATTTAAATAAAGAATAAGGACTAGGCAAAAAGATATAAATCAACAATGCAGGAAAAGTAAAGTAGTGTTAAATTATATAGTTTTACTCTCAAGACAATTCAGATCAAAAGGTTCTGTTGACCTACAAATACATGGACTCTTACTCTATGAAAGCAAAACCTTCTTCCATCTTTCCCATGAGCCAACGTCTCAGTGGAGAATCTTCAGATTCCTTTTTGAATACATAATTGTATTGAAAGAGACCCTCAATGAGCCTTTTAGGTGTTTGGCCTCACATTGCATATTCATCTATTACTGGTTTTTAATTGTGAACATCATTTCTTTATATGCTATTAATAAAACATCTAAATCAATAAATCAATGAAATAGCACCAAAATATACAGATTAAAATCCAGCCTTTGAATGTAAACTGGACTTGGATTATTTAAAGAGGGAATTACAAATTGATTAATAAATTACTTGTTATATTCCATTTCCTAATTCTTGTTTTTTTAAAGACCAAATCTTCATTTTGAAAGTCTAAACTGAATGTAAAAGTATTCCTGTTTAATAAAGTAGAAAAACAACTCATTCAGGTTTCCCTGATAACAATCAGGAGAAGTGAATACCCGCAGAAGATGAAAGATGTACGAACACCGACCAAGAAGAGCAGCCTGTAAGAGGAGAAGAAATAGTTTTAAAAGTGATTACATCGTTTCAGATAATAAATAATAATGATAATTCATTCTATTTAGGGGCGCCTTTCAAAGCACCCAAGGACACCTGACAATTCATAACATATTCCAAGGAAAGGTTTTAAGACAGTACAAAGAATGCAGTCCGGGTGATGTTTTTCGTGTGGGGTGCAGATGAGAGGGAGCTGTCCAGAATGACACCAAGATGTTGTGTTTGTGCTCTTGATAAGCCATTAAAACAGTAAACTACGTGTCTCCTGTTCACCAAAACATACCCATCTGTTTTGGAAAAATAAAGTATTCCAAAAGTATTCTAAAAGTAATCTGAATACGTTACTTTTTTAAGACGCGTAACTGTAACTGTATTCTGATTACTTTCAGAGCATGTATTCAGTATTCAGTAACTGATTACATTTACAAAGTAACCCTCCCAACCCTGCCTAGAAGTGATCCTTCGTTAGCGTGAAGAGTCTGCTAACCTCTTAACCTGTTAAGCACCAAGCCTGTTGTTCATGTTTCAGGCTCGAAAATGACATGCCCAAAACAAATGACTACAACTTAACTTCTAAAAGGGTTATATGAATAATTTATTTTATTAAAGCAAGGTTACATCTGTGAGTTGGATGTAGAAGTGTCAGAATCAATATAGATGTTTTTTATTTTAAAGAAAATTCTGATTTTACAAAGTAAAAAACTGTAAATTACAGTGTCCGTCCAAAGATTATTTTTTACAGATAGTGAAAACTACCCTTGGATGATGGGTTAGTAGACTAAAAGCTTTAGGAATCCAAAGTACAACATATAATAAGTACCCTGTATCAAGATTGATGCAAAACAAGTGACATTTGACCTTTTTAGAGAGGTTTAGCCAAAACCACCCCACCTCTGAGGTGATTTGGGTGAAAATGTTTTTTTTTCCATATCTCTGGCCCCCCTTGGTCGATTTTGATGGTTGACACCTCTTTCTGACGATTAGAGCCAATAGAATCGAAGGGGGAGTCCCCCACACACACACGTTGTGAAGAGAAAAGGTGGGTGCTGCGCGCATGTACATTTGCAGCAGAGTGGACCTATCTCTCGCTCTGGCATTTGGAAACGAAAAAGCAGTTTTATTGCTTATGGATTATCAGAAATAATTTCAAAGAAGGCACAGATACATTGGATTAACCTATGGATTAACTGCAGCATCGTTTTTTTATCGTTTTAATGCCATTGAAGACCAGTTTTGACCAAGGTAAGCCATGTTAGCGTTTCTAGCTACCTAGCTCCACATGTTATGATGTACGCTTTCGTTTATAGCGTCGCAAATGTTTATCACTGAGTGTTGAGGTGGGCACCGCCAGATTCAGTGTCTCCAGGAGACCCAAAACGAGTGGTTGGCTGTGCATCTAGGATAAGTAATAAGGGAGTTATGAGTGAGTTTAAGTGCCGTTTTAGGTTACATTTTTTCGCTCGTGGCTAATTCAGAGGCTGAGTGTTAGCATTGTGGGTTTTGTTTGAAAAAAAAAATTAAAAAGATCAGTTAGCTGAGTTTCTTCCCGTTACATGGATATAAAACATTCATAGTTTATTAAATATTAAGATTCCTTAGAGGTTGTTTCCTACAAATTACGCGTTTATCCGCCCGGTACCGGGGGGACGGTGCGTAACAGGTTAAGGACGACGGTCCCCACATTGGACCCCTCCCACCGTTTTTTTTTCGAGATAATGTCTCAGGGCTTCTTAACATTTATGAAACTATTAATGTGTAACACCAGATTAACGGGAAGAATCTCAGCTAACTGAAGATATTAACCATTTTTACCAAAACAAAACACAAGTCTCATAAGAAGCGTCTAAATGACCCCTGAGCGAAAAAATGCAAACTGACTTTGGCACACAATTCAAGATAAAGATACCCTTATTACTTATCGTAGCTGCACATACAATATAGCCTATTAAAGCTGAGACTCCACAGATTATTTAGGTATAGTATCATCACTGAGCGATCCGAACTTGTGACAGGGGAAGCAAACACAGACATCACAACACGTACCTTTACGGAGCTTTTACGGGAGATCGTCTCACCGTAGCTGTCAATTAGGTCAAAAGACGTGTTCAATGGCATTAAAACGAAAAAAAAAAAAAATGCTCCAACTGTTGATCCATAGGTTGATAATGTACCTGTGCCTTTTAAGAAATTATTTATAATCCATAATTCCATTTTTTATGTAAAAATCGGAGCGGAAAAGTTAGCTGCTAATGGTAGCCACCAGAGTGTATGCAGCTTCCGGTTTTGGTCACGCGTCACTCTCACTCCTTATTTGTTAATGTGTTGGTGTGTAAAGAACGTTCCCTCGATTCCATTGGCTCTAGCGGTTATAAAGAGATTTCATTCATCAAAATCGAGCAAGGGGGGCCAGAGATAGGTCAAATCCACCCAAATGACCCCAGAAGTGGGGGTTTTTGGCTAAATCTCTCTAAAAAGGTCAAATTTCACTTGTTTTGCATCAATCTTGATACAGGGTACTTATTATATGTTGTACTTTGGATTCCTAAAGCTTTTAGTCTACCTTACCATCATCCAAGGGTAGTTTTCACTATAAGTACAAAATAGTTTTTGGACGGACACTATAATTTACAGTTTTTTTACTATGTTCAATCTGAATTTTCTTCAGGCTCAGGGCTCAAGAGGCTAAGCTTTATGCTCCACTAGCACTGCATCCCCCCCCCCCCCCAGTCAAGAACTTCAAAATTCTGGGCTATATAAAAATCGTTGGCCCGCGATAGTGTCTATTGGATACATTTTGGCCCTTGGACAAATGTAGTTGCTGATCCCTGATCTACATGATGGACATATTCCCCCTGCTGTTCAGACACTAAGTTAAGGTATCGTGAAAGAACAGTTAGAGAAACGTCATAATGCTTTAAAGTCTGATAAGTATCATCTAAAGGGAAGTTAGATATATAGAGCACACACATTGTTATCAGCACTGCAGATATGTTAGTGTTAAATAAAACTGATATACTCTTAAGGAAATGAAAGCTGGAAAGGTTCAGAAACTGCATCTTACCCTTTGAAAGAAAGAGGGAAATCCATGGAGCGAGCACTCATCATGGACACACAGCTCGATGCAGGAGAACCTGCACTTATCTTCTCAGGATTGGATCTGCGTGGACGGACAGAGAGAAATGTTAGGAGCTTATATATTTGTAGCTAAAGAGACCCTCAATAAGCCTTTTGGGTCTTTGGCCTCTCAATGCATATTCTGCTATCACTTGTTTTTAATTGTGAACATTCTTTATTTATTTTATCAATAAATAAATAAAGAATGTTCACAATTAAAAACAAGAAGAGATCTGTATCTTTCCTCTATTACTTGTTTTTAATTGTGAAAGTGTTTTAGCACACCACGTGACGCATCTGAACGAATCACGTTATCAGAAATTGACACCAGCCAATGAGATTTTGTTTCTTGGTTTAAGACCCCTTTGCACTTTCACGATTGGTTGCTGATACAAAGGAAATGACCATATTTGGATCCGATGAGATTGTGCAGGAGAGACGGAGCTTTCCAACGATACCTCTGATGACATGGTGCAAACAGCGGTCGCGGTACTTTATGTTACGTTAGAATGCTAACTTTTGGTGAATTTAGGAGAAATCTAAAGACGCAAATAGACAAACTATAGTAAAATAAACACTTAAATGTGTATTTTGTACGTTTTCCTTCCAAAAGCCAGAAAGAAAACATGTTATGGAATCAAAATAGCACAAAATCTCAAAATTGACCAGTGCATGAAAAACGATGTTTTTGCCTGCCGTGTCTCGCCTTAAGACAATTCAGCTCAAAAGGTTCTGTTGACCTACATAGAAGGTGGATCAGGCCGTTTGACAGGCGGAGGGAGCTCCATGGGTCGGTCACTCTGCATGGACATCATGCTCTCAGACCTGAAGATAATGCAGGGGGAAGTGTTAGGAGCTATTGAAGAAGATAATATATTAATAATATTATAATAATAATATATAATAACAATAATTAAATTATAATAACTAATCTCTCTGAACCCTCAATGAGCCTTTTAGGTCTTTGGCCTCACATTGCATATTCTTCTATTACTGGTTTTTAATTGTGAACATTGTTTATTTATGTGCTATTAATACAAACCAAAATATACAGATTAAAATCCAGCCTTTGAATGTAAACTGGACTTGGATTATTTAAAGAGGGAATTACAAGTTGATTAATAAATTACTTGTTATTTTCCATTTCCTAATTCTTGTTTTTTTAAAGACCAAATCTTCATTTTGAAAGTCTAAACTGAATGTAAAAGTATTCCTGTTTGATAAAGTAGAAAAACAACTCATTCAGGTTTCCCTGATAACAATCAGGAGAAGTGAATACCTGGGGAAGAGCTGAGGTCCAGGTTCAAAGGGGCGAGACGTACTGCCTATAAGAGGAGAAGAAATAATGACAGAAGTTGTTTGTCAAACAGCTGGATCTGAAATCCACTCTTGGTGAAAGGGATGGTCAAGAAATTACAGAATAAAATACAAACACAAATCTTGCAGTCAAATACAAATTGTATTGAAGAAGTATTCAGATTCTACGGAAGAGGATTAGGGCCATATGAATTTTTTTTTTGGGAGGATTTGAAAAAAATACTTTTTCTGACTTTAATCTCAGAATTCTGACTTTAAAGTCAGAAATACCGGTAACTGTAGAGAACCAGCTTCAGTGAGAGACTTACACATTGCAGTAGGCAACAATGGAGGACGTGAGTGAATTTCTGCGCGCCAGAGGGGTCCAAGAGGAAACCATATTGCAAATGGAACGAAAAGGCGTTAGAATGTGAAATGCAGACATTGATGAGCTAGCAGCAAGTGCATTAGTTTATATGCTATGGCTCCCCCCCCCCCCCCACCATCTAATTCAGTAAATAATGGTTTAGTTCGTTGACACGCAAGTTTGTGCTTGTTGGAACAGTGACGACTAACCAAGAGCAACAGCCTGGTGGTTTTCATGTTTCTGTAGAGATTTCATTAAGTGTGTTTTAACAAGGCAGCTAGCAGCTAGCTGAGAGCCTGACAGCTACCGCTCACCTGCCTGGCGGGGGGAAACATATTGCCCAACCTTCTTTTTTTTGCCTGTAACAGTTTAGAGATTAGTGGTCAAAGTACAACGCAAGGAGGCAGTTGCTAATTATATACCCAAAATGCGCCCAGTATAACCCCTCTCGGTACTGTAGCATTGTTACCACAGGGGTCTGGGCAATTGTCCTTTTACCCCAGAATCACAGAATGATCAGCATATGAATATGAATGCTGCTGTACTGAAGGGGATTAAAACAGCAGGACAATGTTGGTAATGTTATCTAGTATGTGTTGCTGCGTATCATGTCAGTCTCTAACGTTAACGTTACTGAGTGTAACTACTCTGGTCTTAAAAGAAGGTTACACATCGAACTGATCCGAATTCTGAGAAAAAAGTCAGACATTTTTTTTTTTTCAAATCCTCCCAAAAAGAATAATGTATGTGGCCCTAATCCTCTTCCGTAAGATTCCTTTTTGAATACATCATTGTATTTTAAGAGACCCTCAATGAGCCTTTTAGGTCTTTGGCCTCACATTGTATATTCTTCTATCACTTGTTTTTAATTGTGAACATTGTTTATTTATGTGCTATTAATACAAACCAAAATATACAGATTAAAATCCAGCCTTTGAATGTGAACTGGACTTGGTTTATTTAAAGAGGGAATTACAAATTGATTAATAAATTACTTGTTATATTCCATTTCCTAATTCTTGTTTTTTTAAAGACCAAATCTTCTTTTTGAAAGTCAAAATTGAATGTAAAAGTATTCCTGTTTAATAAAGTAGAAAAACAACTCATTCAGGTTTCCCTGATAACAATCAGGAGAAGTGAATACCTGGGGAAGAGCTGAGGTCGAGGTTCAAGGGGCGAGACGTACTGCCTCCTAAAAGGAGAAGAAATAAAGACAGAAGTTATTTTATTCCTACAGTTCTTCTGCTTTCTTGTGGTATTTCTTAATTAAACATCAATGAAAACGTGTTATTATCCCAGTGTGTTGACTTCACTCTGCTTTCATCAGCATGTCCAATCTGCCCACTGATAACACATAGAAACCAGATACATGTGTTTGATGTAGCTTAGTATATATATTCAACCTTTACTCTATATGTACTTTCACCTGTTCAAGTTCAGAGTTTAACTCGTGTCATGTTTGGTTTTTATTCATCACTACATGTTTATTTGTATTCTATATATTTCCATAATCTAAAGAAAAATTGCATTACATTTAAATAAAGAATAAGGACTAGGCAAATAGATATAAATCAACAATGCAGGAAAAGTAAAGTAGTGTTAAATTATATAGTTATACTCTCAAGACAATTCAGATCAAAAGGTTCTGTTGACCTACCTAGAAGGTTGATCAGGCAGTTTGAAAGGCCGAAGGAGCTCCATGGGTCGGTCACTCTGCATGGACATCACCATCTCAGACCTGAAGATAATGCAGGGGGAAGTGTTAGGAGCTATTGAAGAAGATAATATATTAATAATATTATAATAATAATAATATATAATAACAATAATTAGATTATAATAACTAATCTCTTTGAACAAAACTTTTGAGTGTCGAGAATGAACCTGGTAAGCCTGTCAAACAGCTTGATCTGACATGAACATGAAGAGGTCTTCATCTCACCTCTTGTTTGCCTTAACCTGAAGCTTAACCTCTTAAGCCCATAGCCTGTTTTTCAGGTCTCAGGCTCGAAAATGACATTCCCAGAACAAATGACCATATCTTCCCTTCTAAAAGGGTTAAATTAATAATCTTTTTTCTCAAAGTAATGATAAACCTGTGAGTTGGATGTAGAAAAGTCAGAATCAATATAGATGTTTTTTATTTTAAAGAAAATTCAGATTTTACATAGTAACAAGCTGTAAATTATAGTGTCCGTCCAAAAATTATTTTTTACTTATAGTGAAAACCACCCTTGGATGATGGGTTAGTAGACTAAAAGCTTTAGGAATCCAAAGTACAACATATAATAAGTACCCTGTATCAAGATTGATGCAAAACAAGTGACATTTGACCTTTTTAGAGAGATTTAGCAAAAAGAAACCACTTCTGGGGTCATTTGGGTGGATTTTCCATATCTCTGGCCCCCCTTGCTCGATTTTGATGGTTGACACCTCTTTCTGACCGTTAGAGCCAATAGAATCAAAGGGGGAGTCCCCCACACACACACGTTGTGAAGAGAAAAGGTGGGGGCTTCGTGCATGTAATTTTCAATCAGAGTGAACCTTAAAATCCAGCCTTTGAATGTAAACTGGACTTGGATTATTTAAAGAGGGAATTACAAATTGATTAATAAATTACTCATTATTTTCCATTTCCTAATTCTTGTTTTTTTAAAGACCAAATCTTCATTTTGAAAGTCAAAATTGAATGTAAAAGTATTCCTGTTTAATAAAGTAGAAAAACAACTCATTCAGGTTTCCCTGATAACAATCAGGAGAAGTGAATACCTGGGGGAGAAAGGTCCACGTTCACGGGACCGGAGGCGCTCCCTATAAGAGGAGAAGAAATAAAGACAGAAGTTATTTTATTCCTACAGTTCTTCTTCTTTCTTGTGGTATTTCTTAATTAAACATCAATGAAAACGTGTTATTATCCCAGTGTGTTGACTTCACTCTGCTTTCATCAGCATGTCCAATCTGCCCACTGATAACACATAGAAACCAGATACATGTGTTTGATGAAGCTTAGTATATATATTCAACCTTTACTCTATATGTACTTTCACCTGTTAAAGTTCAGAGTTTAACTCGTGTCATTTTAGTTTTTTATTCATACTATCACTACATGTTTATTTGTATTCTATATATTTCCATCATCTATAGAAAAATCTCATTACATTTAAATAAAAAATAAGGAATAGGCAAATAGATATAAACAATGCAGGAAAAGTAAAGTAGTGTTAAATTATATAGTTTTACTCTTAACCTCTTAAGCCCATAGCCTGTTTTTCAGGTCTCAGGCTCGAAAATGACATTCCCAGAACAAATGACCATATCTTCCCTTCTAAAAGGGTTAAATTAATAATCTTTTTTCTCAAAGTAATGATAAACCTGTGAGTTGGATGTAGAAAAGTCAGAATCAATATAGATGTTTTTTATTTTAAAGAAAATTCAGATTTTACATAGTAACAAGCTGTAAATTATAGTGTCCGTCCAAAAATTATTTTTTACTTATAGTGAAAACCACCCTTGGATGATGGGTTAGTAGACTAAAAGCTTTAGGAATCCAAAGTACAACATATAATAAGTACCCTGTATCAAGATTGATGCAAAACAAGTGACATTTGACCTTTTTAGAGAGATTTAGCAAAAAGAAACCACTTCTGGGGTCATTTGGGTGGATTTTCCATATCTCTGGCCCCCCTTGCTCGATTTTGATGGTTGACACCTCTTTCTGACCGTTAGAGCCAATAGAATCGAAGGGGGAGTCCCCCACACACACTCATTGTGAAAATAAAAGATGGGGGCTTCGCGCATGTCATTTTGCATCAGAGTGGACCTATCTCTAGCTTTGACATCTGGAAACGGAAAAGCAGTTTTAATGCTTATGGATTATCAGAAATCATTTCAAAGGGACACAGACACATTAGATTAACCTATGGATTAACTTCAGCAGCGTTTTTATCGTTTTAATGCCATTGAAGACCATTGGAGAGACTACAGAGCCAAGGTAAAAATGTTAGCATTTTTAGCTACCTAGCGTCACCTGTTTTGATGTCCGTTTTTGCTTATAACATCGCAAATACGTATAATTCAGTGGTAATGTCGGTGTCAATAGATTCTGTGTCACCTCACGATGTGAAACGATGTGTTGGATGTGGTGAAAAGATAAATAATAAGGTTTTGTGAGTGATTTTCGGTGCAGTAAGGTGTTAGCATTTTTTGCTCGTTGCTAATTCAGAGGCTCAGTGTTAGCATTGTGGGTTTTCTTTTGAAAAAAAAAAAAAAAAGATCAGTTAGATGAGTTTCTTCCCGTTACATGGATATTAAACATTCATAGTTTTATTAAATGAACATGCCCTCAGACACTGTTTCCTGCAAGATGTTGCGGCAGTACCCCGGTACCGGGGTCTCTCGGGCTTAACAGGTTAAAGGTCCCATGTCATTCTTACCCGTCCCCTTGTGTGTTATGAAGGTTTTTCTGCATGTAAACGGTCTGCAGAGTCACAAACCCTCAAAGTACACCCTGTAGCGAGTACAACTCTAACACAGAAAAGACCTGTCTATGCTGCCCCAGAACGCCTCGTTGGACATTTCTCATTTCCTTCCTGGGTACAGTGACGTATTTGGGTATAGTGACGTAATGTCCGTGGAGCCGTTACGTTTGGACCAATCCGCAAACTTCCTTACACACACACACACACACACACACACACACACTCGGCGGGACAATGCGAGGCTCGCTGCTGCGAGGAGCGGGACACTGTGAGCTGGCTCACTGGTGTGGGGTCGGCAAGACAGCGAGACACCGCGGAACTCAGCCTGGGCACACACACAAACTCCCAGCCAGGCTGCAGGTGTGTGTGTGTGTGTGTTTCGGGCTGGGTTTCGCTGTATCTCGCTGACGGCCACTGGGCTCACAGGGAGGGGGGGGGCAGGAGCTCCAACAAGCCGTTTAGGACAGAGAGTGAATACACATACTATTCAGAGATGCTGTATGAGAAACCAATGTGAGTTTGGAACATTGAACAATATAAATCTATTCTAGTAGACCTCAACAATGGAATTATGATCAGTAGAAATGGCCATGACATGGGACCTTTAACCTGTTACGCACCATCCGCCCGGTACCGGGCGGATAAACGCGTCATTTGCAGGAAACAACGTCTAAGGAATCTTAATATTGAATAAAACTATGAATGTTTTATATCCATGTAACGGGAACAAACTCAGCTAACTGATCTTTTTAATTTTTTTTTCTCAAAAAAAACCCACAATGCTAGCACTCAGCCTCTGAATTAGCCACGTGCGAAAAAATTTAACCTAAAACGGCACTTAAACTCACTCATAACTCCCTTATTACTTATCCTAGATGCACAACCAACCACTCGTTTTTGGTGTCCTGGAAACACTGAATCTAGTGGTGCCCACCTCAACACTCAGTGATAAACATTTGCGACGCTATAAACGAAAGCGTACATCATAACATGTGGAGCTAAGTAGCTAGAAACGCTAACATGGCTTACCTTGGTCAAAACTGGTCTTCAATGGCATTAAAACGATAAAAAAACGATGCTGCAGTTAATCCATAGGTTCATCCTATGTATCTGTGTCCTCTTTGAAATTATTTCTGATAATCCATAAGCAATAAAACTGCTTTTTAGTTTCCAAACTCCAGAAGGAGAGAATCTCCCAATCTGCTTTCATTTCCAGACGCGCAGCCCCCACCTTTTCTCTTCACAACGTGTGTGTGTGGGGGCCTCCCCCTTCGATTCTATTGGCTCTAACGGTCAGAAAGGTGTGTCAACGATCCAAATCGAGCAAGGGGGGGCAGAGATAGGTGAAATCCACCCAACTGACCCCAGAAGTGGGGTTTTTTGGCTAAATCTCTCTAAAAAGGTCAAATTTCACTTGTTTTGCATCAATCTTGATACAGGGTACTTATTATATGTTGTACTTTGGATTCCTAAAGCTTTTAGTCTACTAACCCATCATCCAAGGGTAGTTTTCACTATCTGTAAAAAATAATTTTTGGACGGACACTATAATTTACAGTTTTTTACTATGTCAAATCTGAATTTTCTTTAAAATAAAAAACATTTATATTGATTCTGACACTTCTACATCCAACTCACAGATGTAACCTTGCTTTCATAAAATAAATTATTCATATAACCCTTTTAGAAGTTAAGTTGTAGTCATTTGTTTTGGGCATGTCATTTTCGAGCCTGAAACATGAAAAACAGGCTCGGTGCTTAACAGGTTAAGACAATTCAGCTCAAAAGGTTCTGATGACGTACATATAAATTGACTCTTAAGTGTAAACCTGGTCTAAATGTGTCTGATCTCCATCATCTATAGAAAATGGCTGACCTACCTTTAATGTAAATCATGCCGTTTGAAAGACAGAGGTAGATGGACACGGCTAACAACATTTCTAACGTGCACAAGCATGATCTACATGATGGACATATAAAGCTCAATAAATAACAAAGAAGACCTTTGACCGGCACTTTTCTAATTTTGTCCGGAAGATTTAAAGGGCCCATGTCATGGCCATTTCCACTGATCATAATTACATTGTTGAGGTATACTAAAATAGATTTATACTGTGCAATTTTCCAAACTCACATTGGTTTCGCATACAGCATCTCTGTCAAGCATGTGTATTCAGCAGTATTCACTTTCTCCACTAAACGACTCGTTGGAGCTCTTGCCGCCCCCTCCCTGTGAGCCTAGTGTGCTCCGATTGGTCAGCTCGGCCACTCGTTCTGATTAGTCAACCACCAGAGAGGCTGCGCCCATGTCTAACAGTGCTTTTCCCCGGCTGCTCTCAGCGTAACATCAGTCTTATCATGGCGTCGGCACAGCCGTATATTTTATATACATATATATTTTTAACTGTTGTTATAGAAGAGTGTGACGGCCCCAGGGCCTTTGTCTTACGATGGGGTGGAGCTGAAGAGGCTAATCAGCACGATCACGGACACCTCCGGACACTACGGCCCCAGTCTCTCTCCAAAGCGGCTGCAGGAAGACTAACTCTGCGATCCTCTCAACCACCTATCTCTGCATTTACCACAATAAATGTGCCGTGGTTTTGTAAACTCGTGTATGTCTCCTTGTCTTTGTGGCCTACGAGCCGCTCATAACAAAGAGTAAGTTATTTTTACCCGTTATAAACTACTACTGTTTGATGAGAAATCAAATCATGGTTTGCTATATATGAATTCAGGGAAGAAAGGATAGGCCTACTAAGTATTTCCATTAAACTTTATTTTTAGAAATGTACAAAATGAACATAAATATACATATATACACGGTATATCATCCATTCCTCCTCCTTGCATCTTGCCTGCGCACAGTCGGTGCGGTGCCTTTTAGCACGACGCCTCAGTAGTAGTAGAAGTGCCTTTTAGCACGTCATGGATTGTCCGCCAGGATCTGGCTGGACGAAATCAAATGCAAATCACAAAATATTAGAGAAACTTAGTTGTTTTAGATTCGTTAGTAGTAGTTGTGTAATGAACAGCTTGCCTGCTAATATGCTAACCTAGCTTTGTTTACCTTGGTAGCTAACACGATATGAACGTTAGCTTGGAGGAAAGGCAACTATAATGCAGTGTAATAAAACTACTATGAACAAAAGCTAGTGGTTCATATTAGGCTAGCAATAACGTGTTTATAATTGCAATCGTATACGGGTATTCTGCTACCATACAATGTAACTTGCATGAATACATTGTTTTGCGCTAGCATACAGCTAGCCTCGTTAGCTACATGCAGTATATGTACGGTCACAATGTACGGTAAATCACAGTACAGTATACTGTATGAGTATTCCGTGTGTGTGAATGCAGACCTTCTCCTGCTATGAGATACATGTATGCAAGGCCATCTGCTGATATTAGAGTTGATATATGGAAACTCTAGCAACTTAGTTAGCACAGTTAGCACTGTGTCAATGGCTTAGCAGTCCAACACAGTTTACACATTTAAACAGTCTTGTTTGATAAATACACAAATAACAATGCAAACTTACAGGTTGTATACCCAGATCTTCCCCTGCTCCAAACGGTCCAAACAAGCTGTGCATATCCGGCCTCAAACTGGGCAATGTTTTGGAAGCTTTCGTCTGTGAAATGCCGGTTCTTCGAACCTCTGGAGGAGGAACACGCCGCTGCTGGTGTGGCCATAGCTCTTCGGGATTGGTCCATTTCGTTCCGGGTACCGCATGACATCAGGCGGTACCCGGAACTAAATGGAAGACTCAAATGGGCAGTGACGTATCTCCAACGAGGCGTTTTGGGGAGGTATTTTCTGTGTTAGAGTTTTACTCGCTACAGGGTGTACTTTGAGGGTTTTGACTCTGCACACCGTTTACATGCATAAAAACCTTCATAACACACAAGGGGACGGGTAATAACCGGAAAAGCATGACATGGGAGCTTTAAACTTTAACGGACATCTTGACCGGCGAAACAAACTGAAACTGAAACTCTGCCGCATGGTCCCCTCGTTCCTTGGAAGAGGCGGAGAGGTGGGTGTTTGTCATCTGCTGGTGGACTAACCGGAGAGAATTACAGTGCTTGCCTCGACGGGGAGGGATTGCATTGAATTAAAGCAGCGGGAGCAAACGCTTGCCTCGGGGAGGGAGAAAAAAAGCCACAGCGGAGAATAAACAGAAGGGTAACCATGGTAACTATGGGCGGGAAGTCTTCTTCGCTGCTTTTGTGGCAGACTACAGCGCCACTTACAGGCCTGGCATATGTACTACAGCGTCTCCAGCGCTTTCGAGCGGCAATGGCCGTGGCTGTCTCCTGATTGGTGGAGTTGGCCCAATAGCCGTAGCGCCACCGTCCTGACGTCAGGACAGTGTTCAAATCTGGATCAGTCTGTATCAGATCCGTTGCAGCCCCTTTTTTAGAGATTTGGGTATGGAGGAAAATAGAGAGGGTTGTGTTTTCTGACACTTGGGCTGCGTTTCACTTCTCTTATTTTTCATTTCCTCGCTTCTCGGTCTCTGTCTCACCGGAAGTTGATTTGTCTGCGCCATCTTGAGTAGCGTCCCAATGGTCTTATTTTTGCCGGAGGAGCGAGGAGCGAGGAGCGATAATGGAGGAGCTATAATCGAGGAACCACCAGACCATCCTTCGATGAAATCCTCAGACACTCGCCCCGCCCCCTTACTGTGTATCGCTCACTGATTGGACGATGCAGCACATGCACTGATCTGATGCTTCTTGACATGAGAGCAGTTTCCCAGCGGAGTGAAGAAAACACATGAAACTCACGGGACTCACTCCTCAGTTCATACTGTGTTTTGTTTCAATGAATGCATCATTCAGTTACAAATATGTGATATATCTGAACAACAAAGTGGTCAAAAATCATTTTATTCATTTTTTGGAAACATTTTCATGATCGCTTTTTTCGTTTTACATTGTCATTCATTGTCATTTCCATTCAGTCAGTCATTAAGTGCTATTTAACATGTTAATGTGCTACATATCCACACAAACAAACTAAGTGTGCAATCCAATGATTAATGAATGTTAATCTAACTGGGTTTTGATAGATAACATATCTCTTTTTCTTCTCTGAATTATTTTATTTCTATTGTGCACTCTAATCAATATTAATCCAACTATTGTTCGTTTATACATTTTAAGAATGGCGTTTATCTTTTTTGAGAATGAGTTCTTATTTTATTTAATGTATTTGGGTCTACAACAGATGATACAAATGTTTGTGTCAGTAAATGTGTACTAACAGAGGCGGGGGTGTTTGTGAAAATAACGGGGACAGAGTTGCTGTCAGACGAACAGCTGTGCGGCGTCATCACAAACGGACGTCGCTTCACGTGACGCTCCGGAGGAAAGGACGTCCCATTGCTCTTAAAACTAATTTCCCTGCTTCTCGTGGTTTCCTTGCGTCTCTCCATGCTTCCCTGGTGGGAGGGACTAGTCGCAGGGAAACGACGCAAGTGAGGGACGCAAGGAATCCATTTAACCGAAGTGAAACGCAGCCTTGGTGAGTTCCCTGGAACACCGGGGACACATATTCATGTATAAAAGACGTACAAAAGTGCATTTTGCATGATAGGTCCCCTTTAAATATAGCATGATAGGTCCACTTTAAGGTATCGTGAAAGAACAAGTTGAGTAACGTCATAATGCTTTAAAGTCTGATAAGTATCATCTAAAGGGAAATGTGCATCACATTGAAGTTAGATATATAGAGCACACATTGTTATCAGCACTGCAGATATGTTAGTGTTAAATAAAACTGATATACTCTAGGAAATGAAAGCTGGAAAGGTTCAGAAACTGCATCTTACTGTTTGAAAGAAAGAGGGGGATCCTTGGAGTGAGCACTCATCATGGACACACAGCTCGGTGCAGGAGAACCTGCTCTTTCCTTCTCAGGATTGGATCTGCATGGACGGACAGAGAGAAATGTTAGGAGTTTATATATTTGTATTTAAAGAAACCCTCAATGAGCCTTTTGGGTCTTTGGCCTCTCAATGCATATTCTGCTATCACTTGTTTTTAATTGTGAACATTATTTCTTCATGTGCTATTAATAAAACATCTAAATCAATAAATCAATGAAATAGCACCAAAATATACAGATTAAAATCCAGCCTTTGAATGTGAACTGGACTTGGATTATTTAAAGAGGGAATTACAAGTTGATTAATAAATTACTTGTTATATTCCATTTCCTAATTCTTGTTTTTTTAAAGACCAAATCTTCTTTTTGAAAGTCTAAACTGAATGTAAAAGTATTCCTGTTTAATAAAGTAGAAAAACAACTCATTCAGGTTTCCCTGATAACAATCAGGAGAAGTGAATACCTGGAGAAGATGTTAGGTCCAGGTTCACGGAGGTCCTCCCTATAAAAGGAGAAGAAATAAAGACAGAAGTTATTTTATTCCTACAGTTCTTCTTCTTTCTTGTGGTATTTCTTAATTAAACATCAATGAAAACGTGTTATTATCCCAGTGTGTTGACTTCACTCTGCTTTCATCAGCATGTCCAATCTGCCCACTGATAACACATAGAAACCAGATACATGTGTTTGATGAAGCTTATATAATGGAGGAGAAGAGGAAGAGGAGGAAGAGGAGGAGGAAGGAGGAAGAGGAGGAGGATGAATATTTCTTTTTTTAAAGACCAAATCTTCATTTTGAAAGTCTAAACTGAATGTAAAAGTATTCCTGTTTAATAAAGTAGAAAAACAACTCATTCAGGTTTCCCTGATAACAATCAGGAGAAGTGAATACCTGGAGATGATAGGTTCAGGTTCCCAGGGCAAGACGACCTGCCTATAAAAGGAGAAGAAATAAAGACAGAAGTTGTTTGTCAAACAGCTGGATCTGAAATCCACTCTTGGTGAAAGGGACGGTCAAGAAATTACAGAATAAAATACAAATCTTGCAGTCAAATACAAATTGTATTGAAGAAGTATTCAGATTCTACGGAAGAGGATTAGGGCCATATGAATTTTTTTTTTGGGAGGATTTGAAAAAAAAACTTTTTCTGACTTTAATCTCAGAATTCTGACTTTAAAGTCAGAAATACCGGTAACTGTAGAGAACCAGCTTCAGTGAGAGACTTACACATTGCAGTAGGCAACAATGGAGGACGTGAGTGAATTTCTGCGCGCCAGAGGGGTCCAAGAGGAAACCATATTGCAAATGGAACGAAAAGGCGTTAGAATGTGAAATGCAGACATTGATGAGCTAGCAGCAAGTGCATTAGTTTATATGCTATGGCTCCCCCCCCCCCCCCAATCTAATTCAGTAAATAATGGTTTAGTTCGTTGACACGCAAGTTTGTGCTTGTTGGAACAGTGACGACTAACCAAGAGCAACAGCCTGGTGGTTTTCATGTTTCTGTAGAGATTTCATTAAGTGTGTTTTAACAAGGCAGCTAGCAGCTAGCTGAGAGCCTGACAGCTACCGCTCACCTGCCTGGCGGGGGGAAACATATTGCCCAACCTTCTTTTTTTTGCCTGTAACAGTTTAGAGATTAGTGGTCAAAGTACAACGCAAGGAGGCAGTTGCTAATTATATACCCAAAATTCGCCCAGTATAACCCCTCTCGGTACTGTAGCATTGTTACCACAGGGGTCTGGGCAATTGTCCTTTTACCCCAGAATCACAGAATGATCAGCAGATGAATATGAATGCTGCTGTACTGAAGGGGATTAAAACAGCAGGACCATGTTGGTAATGTTATCTAGTATGTGTTGCTGCGTATCATGTCAGTCTCTAACGTTAACGTTACTGAGTGTAACTACTCTGGTCTTAAAAGAAGGTTACACATCGAACTGATCCGAATTCTGAGAAAAAAGTCAGAAAACATTTTTTTTTCAAATCCTCCCAAAAGAATAATGTATGTGGCCCTAATCCTCTTCCGTAAGATTCCTTTTTGAATACATCATTGTATTGAAAGAGACCCTCAATAAGCCTTTTAGGTCTTTGGCCTCACATTGCATATTCATCTATTACTGGTTTTTAATTGTGAACATTGTTTATTTATGTGCTATTAATACAAACCAAAATATACAGATTAAAATCCAGCCTTTGAATGTGAACTGGACTTGGATTATTTAAAGAGGGAATTACAAATTGATTAATAAATTACTTGTTATATTCCATTTCCTAATTCTTGTTTTTTTAAAGACCTAATCTTCATTTTGAAAGTCAAAACTGAATGTAAAAGTACTCCTGTTTAATAAAGTAGAAAAACAACTCATTCAGGTTTCCCTGATAACAATCAGGAGAAGTAAATACCTGGGGGAGAAAGGTCCACGTTCACGGGACCGGAGGCGCTCCCTATAAGAGGAGAAGAAATAAAGACAGAAGTTATTTTATTCCTACAGTTCTTCTTCTTTCTTGTGGTATTTCTTAATTAAACATCAATGAAAACGTGTTATTATCCCAGTGTGTTGACTTCACTCTGCTTTCATCAGCATGTCCAATCTGCCCACTGATAACACATAGAAACCAGATACATGTGTTTGATGTAGCTTAGTATATATATTCAACCTTTACTCTAAGTCAGGGGTAGCCAACACGGTGCCCGCGGGCACTTGGTCGCCCGCAGAGGCAACGTGAGTCGCCCGCGGGGCATGTTCTAAAAATAGCTCGCCAAGCAAATCCAAAATGTATAAAATACACAAAACAAAAAAGGAAATGTAATTAAAAGAATCTACCCTATGCATAAACGAAACCTAGATCATAGCGAACTCTATCTACTACAACTCTATATCTATCTAACACCCCTCCTCCCCCCACCCCCAAAATGAATATCTACCAATCACGTTCTTGCTTGATTTGCGGGACCAGCGTTGCAGTCTGGAAGAAAAGCAATGTGGCACCTACCCGCTGATTTTCCTTCTGGCAGAATCTACACATCAGCCCCATTGAACAGCCTATCATGCAACCTATACAACACATAGGGGGCAGAGTTTTACTCTGTGTGTTGCAACTTGCATATATTTATTGCACTTGACGCACACACACGCATGGCGTAATTTCCACCTGGGACAGGGGGGAAATGTCCCCCGCTCTTTTCGAAATCCCGTTTGTGTCCCCCCACTTTACAAATATGTTTATTATTATTTTTTAACGCAAGCCTTCGATCGCCACGGAGGAGCTCACAGCCTCTGTGAGCGAGCCAGAGAGAGAGAGAGAGCTAGGGAGGGAGGGAGGGAGAGGGGGAGAGAGAGAGCTAGGGAGAGCATACCTTTATCTATTTAATATAGATAAAGTAAGAAATCATTCCAATGTGTACTATAGGACAGTAAAAAAAATCAAAACACAGTTTGAAAGGGGAGAGATTAGTAAAATAAGCATACATAAAAAGAAAAAATGCTAACTAGGTAACATAAGATAAGAATAAACCAGTTTAAATGATTTGTTATTGGTTGTGATCATATTCTAAAGATGTTTGGATTATTGAAAAGTATACAGCTCCCTTTCATCTGAGTGTTGAGAGCTGTTTCCATCAATTCATGTTGTGCTCAAAGTGCTCCAGATTGATGCATTTCACTTCAACATTAAAAAATAATCTTCCTGGGGGTGCATGCCCCCCGACCCCCCCTAGAGGAGGTGAGGACCCCCCTGGAGGAGGTGAGGCCCGTCCACCCCCAAATAAAGCAGGTTAAAATAATTAGATTGCATACATGTTCTTTTAGTAAACACTGAAAACGGGTCCCACAGACCCAAACAGCAAACAAAGGTTAAAGGTCAGCATATCATAATGTTAAAATGTGCTAAATATATACACCGCAAAAAAAGAAAAGAAAAGTAAAAGTAGCCCCCGACTTGTTTTATTTTTTTAAAGTAGCCCTCACCCTAAAAAAGGTTGGTGACCCCTGCTCTAAATGTACTTTCAGCTGTTAAAGTTCAGAGTTTAACTCGTGTCATTTTAGGTTTTTATTCATCACTACATGTTTATTTGTATTCTATATATTTCCATAATCTAAAGAAAAATTGCATTACATTTAAATAAAGAATAAGGACTAGGCAAATAGATATAAATCGACAATGCAGACAAAGTAAAGTAGTGTTAAATTATATAGTTATACTCTCAAGACAGTTCAGCTCAAAAGGTTCTGTTGACCTACCTAGAAGGTGGATCAGGCCGTTTGACAGGCGGAGGGAGCTCCATGGGTTGGTCACTCTGCATGGACATCACCATCTCAGACCTGAAGATAATGCAGGGGGAAGTGTTAGGAGCTATTGAAGAAGATAATATATTAATAATAATATATAATAACAATAATTAGATTATAATAACTAATCTCTTTGAACAAAACTTTTGAGTGTCGAGAATGAACCCGGTAAGCCTGTCAAACAGCTGGATCTGACATGAACATGAAGAAATGTTTATCTCACCTCAATTGTGCCGCAGACCGGAGCGCCTCCTCTAATCCACTCTTGGTGAAAGGGATGGTCAAGAAACTACAGAATAAAATACAAACACAAATCTTGCCAGTCAAATTAAATTGTATTGAAGAAGTATTCAGATTCCTTTTTGAATACATCATTGTATTGAAAGAGACCCTCAATAAGCCTTTTAGGTCTTTGGCCTCCCATTGCTTATTCTTCTATTACTTGTTTTTAATTGTGAACATTGTTTATTTATGTGCTATTAATACAAACCAAAATATACAGATTAAAATCCAGCCTTTGAATGTAAACTGGACTTGGATTATTTAAAGAGGGAATTACAAGTTGATTAATAAATTACTTGTTATATTCCATTTCCTAATTCTTGTTTTTTGAAATTGAATGTAAAAGTATTCCTGTTTAATAAAGTAGAAAAACAACTCATTCAGGTTTCCCTGATAACAATCAGGAGAAGTGAATACCTGCTGGAGATGATAGATGTACGAACACCGACCGAGAAGAGCAGCCTGAAAGAGAAGTAATAATGACAGAAGTTATTTTATTCCTACAATTCTTCCCCTTTCTTTGTTAAAAGTAAAGAACTGGAATACAAAATGCAAGTAGATGTACTGCCATTAAAATATGTATATTTGACTCCGTGTTAAATACTCATTATGGAGAATGATTTCATTTCAGAACAATGTGTATTTCACAATTTGATTATACTTAATGACACATTAATGTGTTAATCATGTTTAATATAGTAGCTGTTGAAAATACATTTAATGTCAGCTCATTTATTAACTGTTTTTTATTAATTAATTGTTTTTATCATAATGTATTTTTGTTGATTAATCGTGATATCATTAAATAAGTAAAGTGGATTAAATGTTCATTAATTCCCCCCTAAATGTAGGGCAGTAGACCTATGAAGTAGCAGAAAATGAAAGTTAAATGCTTTAAAATGGTCATGAATTACATTAAATGTGTCTTTTTATTGATTAAATATCACAAGAGTTTCCTGTAATCAGAAATAACACATTGCGTAAGATCTCCTTATATAACAAAATGTCCGACAAAGATAAACAACAACTTTTATAATAACATCACTAACTTTAATTCAGCTTCGGTTGTGGTAACAATGCACAGCAAGACAGCAACACAAAAACATCGCGACCAACCGTCACATTAACGGTTTATAAAGCCGTTAAAAAAAGGTTAAGTTTTCTAGAACAATGAGGAAGTTTGTGCTAAGCTAACTGAGTCCTAGCTAGCATACACGGTTAAAGACATTTATAAACTAGATAGCATTCGAGGTAACGTTACAGCACGAGTAGTATTACATATATACATATTTAATATGTACTGAGACTGAATCAAAGTGTTCAATAATATACGTTTATATGTCGATGGGTTAAATCCGCAGTTCAGTTTACCTTCAGTGCGCAGCAGTTATTTGCCAAAGTGAAAGTGAAACTTAACATGACTCAAAACATAACAAGGAGATGTGACACGTCAGTTGGAGGTTGGTTAAATAGAAAACACACGGATTACAGGGAGTCAGACATTAATAAAATGCGTTTCTGAAACCATTTTTAAATTAAAACCTCACTGTAAGAATATCAGTCTTCTTATGGGCCATTCAGGCGGATATAATTGATTTTCAGGCGGGTATAAAGTAACACAAACAGGGGTTATTTGACACGAGAGATCTCAAAACTCTCCCGCCTGGTAACGCCCAGTACTCTGCTGTGATTGGCTCGTTGCGTCTATGCGCTGTTTTGATTGGATACTTTTTTTTTACCAGCTTTGAGTGCAGATATAAGGACACCATTCATTGTTGCTCTCGATATGTTGTGTAACAGGTGAAAGAACAGTGGTGGACAAGTACACAGAGGCTTTACTTGAGTACAAGTACAGAGTATTACAAGCAAACAACACGTTCTTAACAATCTACAATCGTAAATGAAGTATATAAAAGTGTATAGGCCTATAGAGTTGTTTTTACATAACTCATAAAAGCTATAAAAGTGTATTTATCTAGTACCAGATAAATACACTTTTATAGCTTTTATGAGTTTTCTTGTCTTTCTGTAAGTCTCTACTGAAAAAGTTGATTATATGTCTAAGTAATAATCCCTTGTAGCGCAGGCTCCAAATATCTGCATATAGAGAACGTGTTTTTGTGTTGTGTTGTTGTTGTTGTTGGTAAGGGATTTTATTTGTTGAATAGTTATATTATAAAACATGATCATTATCCGCCCTTGTTATGTCCAGTAATGTGTATTTAGAGTGTATATAACTGACCTACTTTCTTTTATCTACAGGTGTAATTTCACAGTTTCACTTTTACTTGTGCCTGTGTAAAATATTCTAGTACTTTTCCATGATGTGTGAAGCCAGATGAAGCTGTGTGCTTAGGAATTCAGATGATAGACGAGACAGTTTTCTTTTTCAAAATACAATTCAATACAACTTTATTTGTAGTGCACTTTAAAACCTCCAGACCAAAGCGCTGTTCAGAGAAATAAAGAAACAAATGAAATACAGAGACCACACAACTCAGCTCACAAGCCATAGGCTGCGTTTCACTTCTCTTATTTTTCATTTCCTCGCTCCTCGGTCTCGGTCTCACCGGAAGTTGATTTGTCTGCGCCATCTTGAGTAGGGTTAGTGCTAGATCGTATACCTCCTGGGTTTTAGGCGGAAGTGACGTAATCTGCCACCGAGGACAAGAGACGATGCTGGCTGCTGCCGTCTTCACACAAATAAACCCCTTAAAACCTGTATGATTTAGTTTTCACATGTTTATTGAAATGAATTCGTCCATCTCTTTATATTATAGTATTAAATGTATTATTTTCGGTTGTGTATTTGTGTTTTGAAGTTTTTTTTTGGATGTTGCGATTTAATTTCTCCAAGAGAGACAAAAAATCACTAAAAGATCTGGTGGATATCTGACCAGTATTTCATCATGGAAGTTAAATCACAATCATTTCATTATCCTGTGGAGGATAATGTTGTTTTGTGACAGTTGCTCAATTTTAGAACAAACAAAATAACATACTTAATAAATAGCTAAATGTATATATATATATATATATATACACAAGAAGTAAAAGTGTGAATTTCAAGATAAGAAAAATATAATAAAAAGATTAATGTAATTATAGGAAATAAAATCAAAAATTGGCAATGCAAAATAAAATAACCATATGTATATAAACATATAAAACAAACAAGAAATGAAAGCAGAAATGTTAAATATGATTTTAAATAACAATATTTATGTTGAAATAAGAAGTGAAAGTAAAAGAGGGCAATACAACAAAGATATAATAAAATACAATTTAAAGATGTACATTAACATAGGAAGTAAGAATACAAATGTGCAATACAAGATAAATAAAAAGACTAACCTTACAGAGTTAAAGTAAAAATGTTGCAATACAAGTTGTAATTAAATAGAATAAAAATATGTATGGGTAATTTAATAGGGATTATTTTTTTGTTGAGACATCAGGACCCTTCTCTACTCCCTCCACATTCATGCTGACCCGGAAGTTCAACCTCATAGCTTCCGCAAAGCAGCCTACCCTTTTTGTGAATGGGTGCTTTTGTGGTACGGTTTTCACAGGTAGGTTGGCCATCTCCTTCTTCCTTTTCTTAGGTGTGAACGTCAGAGGAAGGCTCTGATCATGTGGAGTGTGTAGCTTCACATCTTCCAAGATCTCGGTCATTTGGTCAGTTAACGTTTTAAGGTAATCTTCATCTTGCAGATGGTATGTTAAGTCAGTAATCTCACGCAAGAGACTGGCACATTCCCTTCTTTGTTTAACCTTTCTTGGTCTTTTCCTTTCGGGCAAAGCGTTACATGGTGACTGCATTTCCACTGATACCGGTGTGTATGTATGATCTGTGATGTCTGATCTGCCGCTGTCATCCCTCTCACAAGAAGTCTGTCCCAGACATGCATTATCCAGGGAGAAGAGGGGGTTATCCCTGTAATTAGATGCCAGTTTCTCCCAACCCCATTCATGCACATGATTAAAAACAGCACAGAAGTGCTTGCAGGGCAACTTGTGCTTTGCCCAGTCTTTGCAGGTGCACGATGGCATGATGATACTTTCACCAAAGTTGATGTGGTGCTGTGTGCAAGGATGACTTTGGCTTTTGACATGGAACATGCCATTGCCCTTTGCAACAATGTCATTCGCCTCATAAAACTGGGCTTCTGTAAGCCTTGACATCACATGGTCTGCTACACTTCTTGGTCTGTCTTTTAAGAACTTTGGCATGTTCTCATTGTACCTTCTGTAGAATGAGGAGTACTTGACATTGAGTTCAATGTACCTTCAATAAGAGATGAGAACAATATCTTAGAAGTCTCTCTGTGACAGTTTGCTTTCTCTGACATATAGATATGGTATTTGATAATACAATTGTCTCAGAAACATATGCAACAATGAACAACATCAAACAAATATGTTGGAAACAAAGCTATCGAACATTACATTTATATATATATATAAAAATGTGTGTGTGTTTGTGTATGTATGTATGTATGTATATATAAATATATATATGTATAATCATAGTAATTCTTTTTTAGCTCACTTCCGATATGTCCTTGGTAGGAAGTCAGTTACCAACACAGTGAGCATTTCACTGAGGCTGCAGTTCTTATAACCTTCAAGATGAGAATGCTTTAGGGTTTCATTTTGTCTTTCCACCCCATTGTTGGTGTAGATGGCCACCTTGAGATCTTCATCCCGAAACACGTGCACCCATCTCTACACAAGACAAAAAAAGACAAAAAAAATTAAAAGGAAGACTCTTCAAATTCAACAAATGATATAATAAATATAATATAAAAGTAAATATAATATTTGAACTTGATATACACCTTAGCCTCTGGGAGCCACTTATTTGAAAACCACGCCCTCACTTTTTCATTGTCCTTCCAGACTTTGGCCTCCTGCAGGTTGCAAAGGCGTGTGCTGAACTCCTCTGGAGTTGAAGCAGCTGCAATGCTTCTCAGAAGCGGTAGGAGACTGTCTTGTGCGTGGCTCACTCCATGATCTTTCTTCCTGCACCATTCAACCCAAGCTTTCTCCCTATGGAAGTCGCAGAGAAGCACCTTGGAACCTGGATAAAATATAAGAGATATATTACCTGCACCATGTTGTCATTTTATTTTGTCGCGTTGCTATTACATAGTATACGCGACAAAATATAGGCCTGCTTTTTATACATCTGTCTGTCAGTGGAGGTGATGACTTTATTTTGAAGTAGATTGTTGCATACATTTGCATGTAAATGGTTATATTTTGGAAGTTGGTGGAATACTATGTAAAATGTATCCTTTTTTTTAATTAACGTTTCATATTATGTGAATTAACAGATTTCTACAGTTACTGCAATTTCACCTTGAAACTCTTCCTCCAGGGCACCGATCTCTACCTCTGAGAAATCAACCATGAAGTGGCTAGGGCTCCAGTCAGGGTTCCACTCCTTAAACACCTGGAGGGCTTCTTTGACATCTGCTGTTGTCTCACTCTGGGTCACAAAGAGGCCAACCACTGCATAGCACACATTTGTATGTACACATAGGAAGAAGAGGGGAACAGAATAACGACACGTCCGGTAAGTAGCATCAAGCAGGCACATCTGTTGTCCATACAGGTGGAGAAGCCTTCGCTGCCAGGCTGTCTGGTAACAAAACAGCAGCTTTGTGACAGTTCCGTCCTCCTGTAGCTGGCTTGGCCTGTACTTGATTTTGCAGTCATCAACTAACCATCTGGGCGTCAGAAGCTGTGAATGAAAGTGTAACTGGACATTATCATCATGTAGCCTCATGGCCCAAACATTAGGAACATTTGTTGTCATATCAGGGCAAAAAACAGTTTTGAAGTTTTAGTTGCATTTTGAAAAATGGTCATACCCTGCATATGAACCAAATACTGCTACTTTGCTTTGCTTACTTACACCTGCATTCAGAGGACAATGTATCATGTAAAAAAAAAAAAAACTGACCATGCTTGGTGAAGTCACAAACTCTGTAAGTTGTGCATTAACCACCCACACAAACTTGCATGGCTTGAATAATATTAATACTATTCTACTCTCAGTGTATTACCTGCAGATTGACCTGGTCATTTTTGGATTCACGTATTCCCTCCTTCGTTCTTGATAAGATATTCCTGATATCCTTGTCTGTGGGGTAAAACCTCCGACGTGTTTGTGGAGGTGGCTGCTCCCCCCGGAATAGCTCGTCATTTACAAAATTGAACAGTTGACGTCTAATCTCACTAAGCTTTCTGGCACCAGCCAAGGTGAGCTTCACTATTTGTTGTTCAACTCTGGAATCCATCGGTTCACGCAGTTCAGCTACCTGTACATGACGTTGAACAGGGTAATTATAGATGTTTAAAGCTGTCTAAAGAAAGTCCTCTTTGTACAGCACAAATTGTACCTCGCATCATGTTTCTTACAGCAGCTAAAGGAATAGATTTTGCATGGTTACCTCTCCAACAGTTGGATGGTTTTGATGGTCACTTTCTGGGGTGAAGCATGTGTGGTATTCCATGACTACTTCAACTGTTGAAGGATCAGCTGCAACTACAGCCTTTAGTGCTGCTGAGAGCTCCCTCCTCTTTGCTTTACTGTTCTCTGCAATCTGGGGAATATAAAAATGACATGGCAATTGGGATCATGACACGAGAGCAATTATAGCATTGAACGCACTTGTGCTGTGCTTGTGCTGTACCTTGAAACCAGGACATTTCATGACCTGACTGACAGTTATCTGGGCAGGGCAATCCATCTTCTTCGTATTTTGTACGAGATGGCGTCTTGCATTGAAGACATGGTCTTCAAGCTAAGAGAAAAAAGGTGTATAGAAATACAATATTAATATATGTATACATTTTCATGGTCTCCTCTCCATAACGTGGAGAACATAATTTTTGCTATGGTTCTTTCTTTTGTCTTCTTTAAAATATTTGTAGGTCCTGCTAATATAACTATAGTGGGACATTATGTCATTACCCCTGCATCTGTACTGTTTGTGTCTATTTATTTTGCACATATACCATCCCCTGTTAAAATAAGTAACCAGTATAGGAAGAATTTGGTGCCAGGTCATGACCGTGAGCTGGTTGGGTTCTGTAGGTGAACAAAGGAAGGATATCCCCCTTTATTTTGTCTCAGAAGAGGCCATTGAATTTCGTTTCCTATTCCTCTAAAGTTTAAACGACTTATGTATTTACATAATGCTGATTCCTATGTTGTTATGTGTCACAGTGTTATGTGTCATAGAATGCCACATAATGCATGTCATATTACGAATAGTTGTTTAATTTTCCTTTACCAATTATTTTAAGTTGTTAATGCATGTAAATTCATAAATATACCGCTTGTTTCTCTTTTTGTGCATGGTACTTCTCCTTTTGCCGAGTACACCTGTCCTTTCCCTGGTGGCATCCATATATCTTGGTGCCCACGAGTTGGAATGGCACCCCATCATATGGTACACATTTCAACTGCCAGTATATCTTTTTCCCTGGTGAAGGTTGCACGTCTGTATTGAAACATTTGTGACAAAAATACATATTTCATATGGTACACATTTCAACTGCCAGTATATCTTTTCCCCTGGTGAAGGCTGCACGTCTGTATTGAAACATTTGTGACAAAAATACACATTTTATCCATAAAAGATGTATTAACACTGGTCAGTTTAGATTTGGAAAGACACTCGGAATTTGAAATGTCTTAAGTAACTTTACGCCTGATAATTCAACCTGTTGCTGAATGTACAGTAAAGTTTCACGTATTTTTCGCTTTTATCAGTTATGTAGAAAGCTGAAACTACCAACCTATAATTCAGTTGTTGTAGGCATTAAAACACAGAACACCAAAATAAACATTTTAGTGGTGTGAACGCTCGTGAACTGTCAAGAGGAGGGCGGGGGAGCCTCGCTGCGGGGAAACTGTGGACCTCTGTCAGCGCAACTTAAATGATGCCGTTTAAAAGATGAATAAATTCACGGCTCGAACCGAGCCGTTCTGTGCCCCGTCTTATATATGTAATACTTATACTTATACTTATATATTATTATACTTATATACTTAGGCCTATATAAGGCCTACTTAATATTTGATTACTGACACAATGTAGGCTACTTGGTCATCGTTGTTTCTTCAATTTCCGATCTAACTTTACAAACTTACTATTTTCCCCGAAAACCTGTTCCTTTTTGTACACAATATACTTTGTGATCGTTGTTTCTTCAACGTCTGCTAACGCTTCCTCGAAATCCTTAAGTGTTTGAAAGATTTTATGTGAAAGCATCCTGTTTGTTGCGCGTTGGCATCCTTGACAGACTTGTCTGTTGGAGGCTCGCGAGCGCAACAAAAGTTGCCGTCTCATCCACGACCACTATTACGTCACTTCCGCCGCATAAAACCCAGGAGGTATACGATCTAGCACTAACCATCTTGAGTAGGGTTAGTGCTAGATCGTATACCTCCTGGGTTTTCTCCTGGGAAAGAAATTTCCCTGTAAGGGATTAATAAAGTGTGTTTCTTCTTCTTCTTCTTCTTCTAAAATAATTGGTAAAGGAAAATTAAACAACTATTCGTAATATGACATGCATTATGTGGCATTCTATGACACATAACACTGTGACACATAACAACATAGGAATCAGCATTATGTAAATACATAAGTCGTTTAAACTTTAGAGGAATAGGAAACGAAATTCAATGGCCTCTTCTGAGACAAAATAAAGGGGGATATCCTTCCTTTGTTCACCTACAGAACCCAACCAGCTCACGGTCATGACCTGGCACCAAATTCTTCCTATACTGGTTACTTATTTTAACAGGGGATGGTATATGTGCAAAATAAATAGACACAAACAGTACAGATGCAGGGGTAATGACATAATGTCCCACTATAGTTATATTAGCAGGACCTACAAATATTTTAAAGAAGACAAAAGAAAGAACCATAGCAAAAATTATGTTCTCCACGTTATGGAGAGGAGACCATGAAAATGTATACATATATTAATATTGTATTTCTATACACCTTTTTTCTCTTAGCTTGAAGACCATGTCTTCAATGCAAGACGCCATCTCGTACAAAATACGAAGAAGATGGATTGCCCTGCCCAGATAACTGTCAGTCAGGTCATGAAATGTCCTGGTTTCAAGGTACAGCACAAGCACAGCACAAGTGCGTTCAATGCTATAATTGCTCTCGTGTCATGATCCCAATTGCCATGTCATTTTTATATTCCCCAGATTGCAGAGAACAGTAAAGCAAAGAGGAGGGAGCTCTCAGCAGCACTAAAGGCTGTAGTTGCAGCTGATCCTTCAACAGTTGAAGTAGTCATGGAATACCACACATGCTTCACCCCAGAAAGTGACCATCAAAACCATCCAACTGTTGGAGAGGTAACCATGCAAAATCTATTCCTTTAGCTGCTGTAAGAAACATGATGCGAGGTACAATTTGTGCTGTACAAAGAGGACTTTCTTTAGACAGCTTTAAACATCTATAATTACCCTGTTCAACGTCATGTACAGGTAGCTGAACTGCGTGAACCGATGGATTCCAGAGTTGAACAACAAATAGTGAAGCTCACCTTGGCTGGTGCCAGAAAGCTTAGTGAGATTAGACGTCAACTGTTCAATTTTGCAAATGACGAGCTATTCCGGGGGGAGCAGCCACCTCCACAAACACGTCGGAGGTTTTACCCCACAGACAAGGATATCAGGAATATCTTATCAAGAACGAAGGAGGGAATACGTGAATCCAAAAATGACCAGGTCAATCTGCAGGTAATACACTGAGAGTAGAATAGTATTAATATTATTCAAGCCATGCAAGTTTGTGTGGGTGGTTAATGCACAACTTACAGAGTTTGTGACTTCACCAAGCATGGTCAGTTTTTTTTTTTTTACATGATACATTGTCCTCTGAATGCAGGTGTAAGTAAGCAAAGCAAAGTAGCAGTATTTGGTTCATATGCAGGGTATGACCATTTTTCAAAATGCAACTAAAACTTCAAAACTGTTTTTTGCCCTGATATGACAACAAATGTTCCTAATGTTTGGGCCATGAGGCTACATGATGATAATGTCCAGTTACACTTTCATTCACAGCTTCTGACGCCCAGATGGTTAGTTGATGACTGCAAAATCAAGTACAGGCCAAGCCAGCTACAGGAGGACGGAACTGTCACAAAGCTGCTGTTTTGTTACCAGACAGCCTGGCAGCGAAGGCTTCTCCACCTGTATGGACAACAGATGTGCCTGCTTGATGCTACTTACCGGACGTGTCGTTATTCTGTTCCCCTCTTCTTCCTATGTGTACATACAAATGTGTGCTATGCAGTGGTTGGCCTCTTTGTGACCCAGAGTGAGACAACAGCAGATGTCAAAGAAGCCCTCCAGGTGTTTAAGGAGTGGAACCCTGACTGGAGCCCTAGCCACTTCATGGTTGATTTCTCAGAGGTAGAGATCGGTGCCCTGGAGGAAGAGTTTCAAGGTGAAATTGCAGTAACTGTAGAAATCTGTTAATTCACATAATATGAAACGTTAATTAAAAAAAAGGATACATTTTACATAGTATTCCACCAACTTCCAAAATATAACCATTTACATGCAAATGTATGCAACAATCTACTTCAAAATAAAGTCATCACCTCCACTGACAGACAGATGTATAAAAAGCAGGCCTATATTTTGTCGCGTATACTATGTAATAGCAACGCGACAAAATAAAATGACAACATGGTGCAGGTAATATATCTCTTATATTTTATCCAGGTTCCAAGGTGCTTCTCTGCGACTTCCATAGGGAGAAAGCTTGGGTTGAATGGTGCAGGAAGAAAGATCATGGAGTGAGCCACGCACAAGACAGTCTCCTACCGCTTCTGAGAAGCATTGCAGCTGCTTCAACTCCAGAGGAGTTCAGCACACGCCTTTGCAACCTGCAGGAGGCCAAAGTCTGGAAGGACAATGAAAAAGTGAGGGCGTGGTTTTCAAATAAGTGGCTCCCAGAGGCTAAGGTGTATATCAAGTTCAAATATTATATTTACTTTTATATTATATTTATTATATCATTTGTTGAATTTGAAGAGTCTTCCTTTTAATTTTTTTTGTCTTTTTTTGTCTTGTGTAGAGATGGGTGCACGTGTTTCGGGATGAAGATCTCAAGGTGGCCATCTACACCAACAATGGGGTGGAAAGACAAAATGAAACCCTAAAGCATTCTCATCTTGAAGGTTATAAGAACTGCAGCCTCAGTGAAATGCTCACTGTGTTGGTAACTGACTTCCTACCAAGGACATATCGGAAGTGAGCTAAAAAAGAATTACTATGATTATACATATATATATTTATATATACATACATACATACATACACAAACACACACACATTTTTATATATATATATAAATGTAATGTTCGATAGCTTTGTTTCCAACATATTTGTTTGATGTTGTTCATTGTTGCATATGTTTCTGAGACAATTGTATTATCAAATACCATATCTATATGTCAGAGAAAGCAAACTGTCACAGAGAGACTTCTAAGATATTGTTCTCATCTCTTATTGAAGGTACATTGAACTCAATGTCAAGTACTCCTCATTCTACAGAAGGTACAATGAGAACATGCCAAAGTTCTTAAAAGACAGACCAAGAAGTGTAGCAGACCATGTGATGTCAAGGCTTACAGAAGCCCAGTTTTATGAGGCGAATGACATTGTTGCAAAGGGCAATGGCATGTTCCATGTCAAAAGCCAAAGTCATCCTTGCACACAGCACCACATCAACTTTGGTGAAAGTATCATCATGCCATTGTGCACCTGCAAAGACTGGGCAAAGCACAAGTTGCCCTGCAAGCACTTCTGTGCTGTTTTTAATCATGTGCATGAATGGGGTTGGGAGAAACTGGCATCTAATTACAGGGATAACCCCCTCTTCTCCCTGGATAATGCATGTCTGGGACAGACTTCTTGTGAGAGGGATGACAGCGGCAGATCAGACATCACAGATCATACATACACACCGGTATCAGTGGAAATGCAGTCACCATGTAACGCTTTGCCCGAAAGGAAAAGACCAAGAAAGGTTAAACAAAGAAGGGAATGTGCCAGTCTCTTGCGTGAGATTACTGACTTAACATACCATCTGCAAGATGAAGATTACCTTAAAACGTTAACTGACCAAATGACCGAGATCTTGGAAGATGTGAAGCTACACACTCCACATGATCAGAGCCTTCCTCTGACGTTCACACCTAAGAAAAGGAAGAAGGAGATGGCCAACCTACCTGTGAAAACCGTACCACAAAAGCACCCATTCACAAAAAGGGTAGGCTGCTTTGCGGAAGCTATGAGGTTGAACTTCCGGGTCAGCATGAATGTGGAGGGAGTAGAGAAGGGTCCTGATGTCTCAACAAAAAAATAATCCCTATTAAATTACCCATACATATTTTTATTCTATTTAATTACAACTTGTATTGCAACATTTTTACTTTAACTCTGTAAGGTTAGTCTTTTTATTTATCTTGTATTGCACATTTGTATTCTTACTTCCTATGTTAATGTACATCTTTAAATTGTATTTTATTATATCTTTGTTGTATTGCCCTCTTTTACTTTCACTTCTTATTTCAACATAAATATTGTTATTTAAAATCATATTTAACATTTCTGCTTTCATTTCTTGTTTGTTTTATATGTTTATATACATATGGTTATTTTATTTTGCATTGCCAATTTTTGATTTTATTTCCTATAATTACATTAATCTTTTTATTATATTTTTCTTATCTTGAAATTCACACTTTTACTTCTTGTGTATATATATATATATATATACATTTAGCTATTTATTAAGTATGTTATTTTGTTTGTTCTAAAATTGAGCAACTGTCACAAAACAACATTATCCTCCACAGGATAATGAAATGATTGTGATTTAACTTCCATGATGAAATACTGGTCAGATATCCACCAGATCTTTTAGTGATTTTTTGTCTCTCTTGGAGAAATTAAATCGCAACATCCAAAAAAAAACTTCAAAACACAAATACACAACCGAAAATAATACATTTAATACTATAATATAAAGAGATGGACGAATTCATTTCAATAAACATGTGAAAACTAAATCATACAGGTTTTAAGGGGTTTATTTGTGTGAAGACGGCAGCAGCCAGCGTCGTCTCTTGTCCTCGGTGGCAGATTACGTCACTTCCGCCTAAAACCCAGGAGGTATACGATCTAGCACTAACCATCTTGAGTAGCGTCCCAATCATAGATATATATAAACACTAGACTAGATGACTCACCCGCGCTGCTGGCCAATGGAGACCGACGTTGCCACATGGCCGCCATCTTGCTACAGGCAGTGCTCTCATTCATAACATTATGGTTTACTATTTAAATAACCATAGCTTGCTCAATTTTCAACCAATTTTCAAACGGTTTGTTTTTTTATAAACATCAAAGATGTAGTTATGATACTGCATACTTATAATCATGGACTTTCATATGAAAATAACATTAAGCAGATAAAGCAATAGCTATACACACACACAAGGTATTTATATTAAATATTTGCCGGTGTATATATTTCCATTTATTTTATTATATTGTTAATATTTAAAATAAATTATAAAATTAAAATATATTTATATTTTATATATAAAAATCGGTCTCATGTTACCACTCTGTAAGCCAAGAGTTGTTGATTTAGCAATGCCTTAGCTTGAAGAACAGGGACACAACTAATGACAATAGCATATGGTGGTATATTATTTAGATATTCACACCTTTATCAGAAGAACCAAACCAACATAAAATGAGCCCACAGACAGGCCAGTTCTGTCTCATTTATCACAATTATTTTTGACATGAGATCTTCATATCGTCCTAGTTTTGTATTTAGTTTCTAGATTTGTAAACAAATCCAGAACCTTTGAAATACGTTACCACTTCACAGCACGGTGCGCTGAGTTCTTGTAGTCGAAAAAATCCCAAGAATAATATAAACTGTACCCCGTGTCCTTTTGTGTCCTTCTGTAGTCCATTTACTGTTGTTTGTCTTGTCTTACCCCGGCTGATATCTCACTAAATCCAGTTTTAATTGTTCCCTATATTGCCCCTATGCCCTGTAAGGGTGTTATGAAAGGCGGCCCCCCAAAATAAATGTATTATTAAGAAGAACAACTTGGTGTGGTTTCTATTCTCCTAAAAATGTTTTACGTTCTCCAACAGAAAACACAACTCAGCGTACTTTTAAGAAATTGATCTTAATAGGCTTGTCCCCTTATAAGGCAGAAATATGTTTTGAGGCTCTGGACAAAAATGGCTATTTTGATTGTAAAGGTTGCCAACCCCTGGGTGTAGTTTCAATGTTTGCACATGTTTATTCAAGTGTATGAGTGACATAGAGCAAGTGAGATGGCCAGTGGTTCTCAAACTTTTTACACATACCCCATTCACACCAACGGTGTTTCGGGCCGGTTCGGTGCTGGTGCTTGAAAAGCACCGGGTTTTCCTGTTCACACCGCAGCGGAGCAGCCTCTAAGCTCCGGAATCCGGTTCGTTTCGAGCACCAAAAAGTTGTCCGTCTAGAAGCAAGAACCGCATACGTCACGCTTACGTCGGAGGGGGGCGAGATTAACCTGAGCTAACAGTTAAGGCGAGTACGGCAAATAAAAGTTGTAACCAGCAGTAGTGCTGAGCAAAGTGACTAGAACGCAACCACACACTTGTAAAAAAAACACACTTTATAAAGTCAGGCAACACTAACCAGGCTTCGTGTGATTCTGTTTATTTGTACCTTACTTTGACCATCCGTTCGCTGTTATTGATCATTGTGGAGAGCAGGCAGACGTTTTGTTTGTTATTATAGCAGCTATCGGATGGAATCAATACATGGGCTGCACAGGTTGTCATGTCCGACTATCACAAGTAGAATCATAATGAAAAATACGTCGGTAAAAAGTGCCTGGAGAAAACGGCTTAGCAAGTAGTCAGTTTAGCTTCGGTTGCTATGCTAACATCACCCATGTTATACCAGAGAAACTTTCATAACAGCGTTGTGATGCCAAACAGCGTCAATTCAGACTGACACACATTCACTTAAAGGGAACTGGGGATATGTATCAGCTGCTTGTGTGACAGTCAGACAGTGAATACTTTAGAGCCGTGTGAGCTAACCCGGAGCTAACGGGAGAATACACTCGTGGAAGAGCAGCAGCACTGCAGCGGTCGGTAAATGCCGCTGAAACACATTAATAAACAATTAACCACGGCACTCTGGAGAAAAGTATAAGGTTGGAGAAGTCGTTATTTAATTTAATCTGGCTTCGTATGATTAAAAGCAACACGATCATCGACCCGACACAGTCCCCGGCCCGTTGTTGTTGTGAGGTGAGCTCCGTTGGGGAGAAAATCAGCGACGTAAACTGTGACGTCATGACGCAGCAGCGGCAGCACCAGTCGGGCTCTGAGCGGTGTGAAAAGAGCCGGCGCTAAACCGAAGTACCGGTTCTGAACCTGAAAAGCTCTAGCACGGAGCTTGAACCGGAGTTGCGTTGGTGTGAAAGGGGTAACAGAGTACCACCTCAAATGATATTGGGCTCTCCTAGTAACACCATCATAGACCTTCCTGGGTACCACCGAGATAAAGGATTTAATATGACAAGCCATATGATGCTCTCATTTGTTAGTGACATTCCACATGCAAATAAGATAAGATAAGATAAGATGGTACTTTATTGATCCCAATTTGGGAAAACATTTTTAGTTACAGCAGCATAAGGGACAAGGCATTTACAATAAATTAGAAATAAGCAAGAAAAATAAAGAAAATAAAGAAAGAGGAAAATATACATGTTGAGTTTGGCAGGATATTATATATATCTAATATACATATACATACATATAAGGCATATGGAATATTAATGTTAAATATTAAATATTGAACAGATTACATATGTGTAAAATGTACAACGTGGTTATATTCAAGATAAACTATGGAGCAGAGAGTTCTCTTCCAGCCAGAGGTGATTTGTTGTACAGAGTTATGGCAGTGGGCAGGAATGTTTTCCAGTATCGGTCCTTGTGACAGGGGAGCTGCAGCAGTCTGTTGGAGAAGGAGCTCCGCTGACTGTCCAGCTGCAGGTGGAGAGGATGGGTGGGGTTATCCATGATGGACAACAGCCTGTTCAGTGTCCTCCTCTCCACCACAGCTTCAAAGGGGTCCAGCTTGATGCCGATCACTGACCCAGCTTTCCTGATCAGTTCATTGATCCTGCTGGTGTCACCGGCTCTGATGCTGCCCCCCCAGCAGACCGCAGCAAAGAAGAGTGCACTAGCCACCACAGACTGATAGAAGATCTCCAGCATCTTGCTGCACACGTGGAAGGATCTCAGCTTCCTCAGAAAATAGAGTCGGCTCATCCCCTTCTTGTACACAGCGTCAGTGTTGATCCTCCAGCCCATTGTCTAAGTGCACTCCCAGGTATTTGTAGTCCTCCACAACCGCCACATCCTCTCCCAGAATGCACAGGGGTAGAGGAGACGTCCTCACCCTCCTGAAATCAATGACCATCTCTCTGGTCTTGGCCACATTCAGAATACTCACAACATTAGGCTGAGGTTCATCTTCCGCTCTTCTTGAAGTGGTTGTGCTTCTTTTTGCTTCCGGCTAAAATAAACATAATTAAAGACATTTTGAGTGTTTATAATGTGCTGTAATACACAACACATTACTTATTCCTAAACTTGCAGAAAGAAAAACTAAAGTGTGACATTTAATCACATATTTATATATCAATCTTATACACCTTGAATTCTTGTTGGCCAATGATACACATACCCTTTGAAGATGAGCTGGGAAGTTGAATACTGTTGGCACAACACCATCTTTAAGCCGGACAGTCTGCCCCGTCCTGTCAAAGTCCTCACAACTGAAGTGATCACTGCAGAGCAGTGTCCTGCCACAGGAAACAAAACCGTCAAAAACTTCCCACTGCCTCCTCCTCTCTCCGGTTTTGGTTAACCTTAAAAACATGAGAAAGGTAGCCAGATATATAAATTATTGTCAACATTTTCCTCCCTTCTTTCCTTTAACATTAAGGGTAAGGACAAAAATACACACCGAAATTATCATATTTTTGGGGTAATTGTATGTAATGTATGTATACTTTAAGAATAAGACAACCACACTAAGAGTTATAAAAAAGGTGTCCAAAAGAAACATTAAATAATTGTGTAAAGAAATGGTAGCAACATATTCTAAAGAGGCTGGGTCAACAACAATCTTGCAATACTATTATCTCACATAGCCCCACTGATCCTGTGTAGCAGGACTTGTAATGTACATACATCCACTAAGTAATTAACGATTATCCTAATTATAGTCATAATATTGTCATATCGTACACGTGAAAG